CTCGCCGACCGGCCGTCGCTGCGCTTCACCCTGGACTTAGGTCGGTCATGTCCTCCTACAGGGGGACGTTGGACGAAAAGTAAGAAATTCGCCGGCCCAACGGGCCAGAGGCGTGCTAAGATCTCCGGTAACTGGTTAACAATTTTCTAGTTCGCGCGCGCGGGGCGGCCCCTGGGGGTCCCCGGACGAAAAGTACCCCGACCAGGTCCCGGCCGGTCCCGGCCGGTCCCGGCCGGGTCCCGGCCGGGTCCCGGCCGGGTCCCGGCCGGGTCCCCCCGAGCGCTCCATGAGCGCACCAACAGGGCTCCGAGACGTCCCCGAGAGCCCCAAGAAAGGCCAAGAGGCCCCCAAGAGGCCCCCAAGATGGTACACGAGGGGTCCGACATGCCACAAGATCGCTCCAAGACGCCCAAGATAGCCCCCAGACGCCCCAAGAGGCCTCCAAGAGCACTCCCAATAGGGCCCCCGGAGGCAAAAATCATTGTTTTTCCATAGGTTTTTGAGAGATTTTGGAGCTTCCACCTTTTCGGCTTCCCGACGCCCCAAGACGGCCCAAGAGGCCCCCAAGATCGCCCCAAGAGGGCCCAAGAGGCACCCAAGAGGGCCCCAAGATGGCCCAAGAGGGCTCGAAGACGGCCCAAGAAGCCTCCAAAACGGTCCAAGAGGGCCCCAAGAACGCCCCCAAAGGGGCCCCAGAGAGGGAACACGAAACAACATTTCGAGCCCTCGGCCCTAAGAAGCCCCTACGAGGCCCCTAAGAGGCCCCAAGAGGCCCCCACGGGGCCCTCAGGAGGCCCCCAAGAGTCCCCCAAGCGGCCCCAGGAGGCCCCCCAAATGCCCCCCCGAGCGCCCCAGGAGTCCCCCAAGCGGCCCCAGGAACCCCCAAAGCGCCGCATTGACACCAGGCCCTCGGGCAAACGGCAGACATGAGACTGTATGGGCCGGCGGAATGAGCGAAGCGATTAAATAATCAAAACATATTCAAATCCGCCGGCCCCCTTGTGGGGCCACCAGGCTGCGAGGCGCGTGATTCGCAGTTTCCTGTACCAGTTGTAGTTTGTAGTTTCCAGTGTTACAGTTCTGCTTCTTGCTGGTTACTGTAACTAGTTGACTTCTCGCTGGTTACTGTAACTAGTTGATTGACCGCGCGAGGGGGGGGGAGGCCCAAACGGGATTTTTAGCACCCCCTGGGCGCGTTGTCTGAATTGCTGGGGGGGCTCGAAATCGACACCCCTCACGCAGATCCGCGGGGTCAGGGTCCAAAAACACATGGGATTTGCCACATTTCTGAAATTCGGTGCCACCCCTCACGCAGATCCGCGGGGTCAGGGTCCAAAAACACATGGGATTTGCCACATTTCTGAAATTCGGTGCCACCCCTCACGCAGATCCGCGGGGTCAGGGTCCAAAAACACATGGGATTTGCCACATTTCTCAAAATTCGGTGCCACCCCTCACGCAGATCCGCGGGGTCAGGGTCCAAAAACACAGGGGATTTGCCACATTTCTGAAATTCGGTGCCACCCCTCACGCAGATCCGCGGGGTCAGGGTCCAAAAACACAAGGGATTTGCCACATTTCTCAAAATTCGGTGCCACCCCTCACGCAGATCCGCGGGGTCAGGGTCCAAAAACACAAGGGATTTGCCACATTTCTGAAATTCGGTGCCACCCCTCACGCAAATCCATCGCAAGGCGTGGTAACCCAAACTGCGAGTACTCCCTCAGCCCTTTAATCCCAAGGTGTGGTAACCAAGCTCGTAAACCATACACGTCTTACCAATCGCCCTGTGTGGTAACCCCTCTTGTGATCAGTTGGGTTTGCCGATTGCGAATCGGCCTCGCATGAAGTTCCGATACTGCTGCACGACAGCGCCAAAGCCTCATGACTTAGCTCTTCCATGGCCTATTCTCCGAGAGAGGGGGCCGGCGGCAGGGGGCGAAGCCCTTACGGATAGTCAAAATAATTTTAAAATTGTGCCCATACTATTTTCATACAAATTTGTTTTTTCCTACTGTAGAGTGACATGCCCGACTTACCCCCGGACCAGCCCCAGAGCCCCAACATCTTCAAAGGAAGGCCCTGGCGAAGGACCCAGCCAGAATCGGAAAAGACACTTTCCCCCCCACCCCCCTCCCCCTCCTCCTCCTCCTCCTCCTCCTCCTCCTCCTCCTTCTCCTCCTCCTCCTCCTCTTCCTCCTCCTCCCACCACCACCACCACCCCCCAGATATCCATAGCACAAGCTGGTAAGCTTCAACGGCTACAGGGGTGGTGCAACACAGTGAAAATCTAAGCGCTGAAAATGACAACTTCTGTTCAATATCAAGTGTTCTGCGTGGCCTGAATATAACATGACATGCTATATTACTACATAGTTACACTGTGCTGAAACAGTCTTCGTAATACGACCCTTGCCATCGATCGAATATTTTGTGTATACCTGGGCACTCGGGTAACAATATAGGACTCGCATACACAAGATCAACGACTTGCGTAAGTTGCGACTGCAATCTGAGCACACGAGGGCGCTGACCAGAAGTTCGGCCGAATCACATCAAGTTGATATTAGGATGCCTGGGTTTCGGGGGAACGCGCCGCTTTCAGTGCAAGGATTCCAATACTGGCAGCAGCACTGCGTGACGCAAACGGTGTTCACACAATCCCCATGATGCAGACAGCTAGACACTGTGTGCTCGCTTCCCTGCGGGGCATCCCTTTGAGGAGTACAGCACACACCGCACTCGCAGCAACATGTAGCACATGCAAGGAAAATAAACAACTCCACGCGGGCCAACGAATCAACGATGACAATATGAATGCCGTGCGGTGTTCGCAACACTCCACGCGCTGATAAGAACACTTTGGTACCCGATGCGACTCTGAGCATGGCTGTGGTGATGGGAACCACACGTCGTTTCGCAAGCAATGATAGCACCATTCCCTGTTGTGCAGTTATTGAATAGTCTCTGCTTCCCTGCGGCTTAGCCCATTGAGGGCACAGCACACCTCATGAAGAGAATCTGAACAACTCCATCTGGGCCAATGGTCCACTGATGCGAAGGTGAACTTGTCATGTTACCGACTACGAGAACCTGATTGCTGTCGCAATGGGCCACGGCGGCGCTGATGACAACGATTTGGTTCTCGCTACGAAGATGAGCATGCCTGAGAACATGCAATTCACATGTCGTTTCGTAATTGGTGGTTGCACCATCTCTTCTGATATGCAGATGTTGAATACGTTATGCTTCCCGGTGGAGTAGCCCACTGAGGGGTCCAGCACACTCCGCACGCATAGCGTTATGTAGCACATGGGTTGCGAAGAAGTAAACAAGCCAATGCGATCAGTGCTGCGAGAGTGAGAACTGCATGACTGTCACCATGGGCAAACGACTCGAACATGAGAGTCCTATGGCGTGCGAGGATGAAAACCCCAAACACGTTCAGCATAGAGAAAAGGGTCGAGAGGAAGATGAGGGAACAACCTTTCTGCCCTGGGTGCGGGGGCAGAAGCGTTAGAACTTCACCGAAAATACGCAGGGGGTCCTTCATTGCTACCTGCGGTTGTGCAGGTGTGAGTGCGCGCCGTCGCGCAGGCAATGGGAACGAGGCGAAAGAGGGCGGGGTCACGAAACGCGTGAGGGGGTGTGCGTAAAAGGGCGGAGCGGCATGCGGACCCCACCACTGGGGCCATCGGAGGAGCTCCATTTGGGGGGGGGGGCGCCGCGCCTCGAGCCGGCGGCGTCCCGCGCGGCGGTGGCGCCGCGGGAGGAGGAGGAGGAGGAGGAGGAGGAGGAGGAGGAGGAGGAGGAGGAGGCGATCCCGATGGAGCCGCCAAGCGCGTGAGAGGCGTGCGGACAGGGGCCCACGTGGAGAGCAGAGGCACGGGGGGCGCGGGGCGCACGCGGAGGGCGGAGGCAGGGAGGCGGGGGGGTCCGGAGGAGAGGACGAGGAGGACGCAGGGCGGTGCGGGTTCAACACGAGGAGCCACGACTGGCTGGTGTTTCTGGGGAGGAGCAGCCGAGGTCTGCCCCATGCCGGCGCACCTCGAGCGTGCTTTTTCCTGGGCGCCCTGCGCGGCGCTGCCTGGCAGCCCCGCCCGGCCGAGGGGCCCGCCGCGGGCCGCCGTGCGCCACCCGAGGCCCCGAGGGCTCCGAGGGCCTCCGAAGGCTCAGGGAGACCTCCTCCTCCTACTCCTCCTACTCCTCCTCCTCCTCCTTCTCCTCCCCCTCCTCCTCTCCTCCTCCTCCTCCTCCTCCTCCTCCTCCTCCTCCTCCTCCTCCTCCTCCTCCTCCTCCTCCAGCCGCCGTCCCGGCTCGAGGGGCCCTGGGAGCAGTTACCAGGTAACTGCGAGCCCCTCACCTCCGGGACTGCTGCTAGACGCGCCCCGTGCAGCCCGTCATAGTGCTGCCTCGCGGCCGTGCAGGCCCCGTGCGCCACGCAGGGCGTGCGTGTGAGCCCGCGTGGCACCGTCGGGCCAGGGCGTGCCGTGCAGCCGCCCGAGTCATCCTCCGCCTAGCGGCGGCCAGAAGATTGCTACAACGACACCACAGTCGTCAGCCTCGAGGACCCGCTCGGCCAAGACCCATGGGAAAGTCATCAGTGACGTGGTCTCCTCCAGGATCACCATGTGCGTGCTCGGTGTGTTTCTGTTCCGACTGGCACGAGCGGGTGGTTTGCCGTCAGTGTGGTACGCCGAAGCCCGAGATGCCTCCATGGCGACGTCCATCCCGTCGCTCGGACAGTGCACCTCCTGCTCGAGAGGCAGCCCGTGGCAAGGGCAAAGGAGGGAAGGACAAGGCTATGCGGGCACTACGCAATGCCTCGCCATCTCGAGGCATCCTCATCAAGGACAAGGACAAGGACAAGGACCAGAGTTTCTTGCAGCAAGAGTCTGGTGCCTCGACGTCCGACGACTACAGGTCTGCCAAGGACCTACTACACATACGGCCCGCACTTCCTCGAGATGCTCGCCAACATCCACGATGGAGGGCGCCGC